AAAATCCATTGCGTCAAATAATAACTGGAACAGGCAATGGCACTCAATTTGAACTCAGTGAGGTGAGAGTGGTTGAAAAAACAAGTTAATTAAAAAACACACTTATCCTTACATGCTCTGTTATCTGTGTGTGAAATTTCAGCGATTTTGCAATTTTTTTTTCTGAACTCTGCTCGTTCATATTTCTGTTTGGTCGATTTTTTTTGTTCCTGTTGTTACTTGTTCTAATTTATTTTGCGCGCACTGCTATGAAACAGATAATTCCATAGTGTTGTGTGCTTTTTTCGCGCTCTGTATATTTCTCGAAGATGTAGTGTATATATTTTATTTAGGGCACAATAAAATTAATGGACGTATGCATTTTCGCCTAGGTGCGTCGCCTAAGTGTTTCTGTCGTTGCTGTTTTCTCTCTCTGTCGCTGTCTCTGTCTCTGTCTCTGTCTGTTTCATTTTTTTCTCTTCATTTCATATCGGCTACGAATATCTGGCGCGTAGCATTTACTATGTTATTACATGCAATTTTTGCTGTCGTTCTTCTTCGTGTGGCTTGTGAGTGAGTGTTTTTTTTTGTCTTCTTTCGTTCGTGTGCAGCACAAGTGAGCAAGATACATCTTTGACATGTCGATTATTTATGCAAATTTCTTTCCTTACATTTTAATGGCTTAGTCTTGTTTTCGCCATCATCTCTCTCGCACGGGATGACGGCGTTTGAAATATATATATTTTACAAGGCCGATGTGATACCGAATATAAGCAATTCTATTTTATTTTTTTCTGCATGGGGTTAAGAGGAGATGGTTGATCCGGTGTGTGAGTGTGAGTGAGTGTGAGAGAGAGAGAGAAATGTTTATAGCTGCTACTTTGCATTGAGACACTAGAATCTTTGGCACCATCTCTTAATGAACGGTTGTCGATGTTAATAAATATACAATTCCTGTGGCGCTTTGCTATTTCAGAAATTACTTGATATAATCTAAATGTTTTGCAGCAATAACAGCATCGCATCAAGTATCAACAGCAAACAAAAACACTGCAATATGAACAAAATAAGAATATTTTTTTAAAGCTCTAATTGAATCAGTAAAGAGGCCTTGTTCGCACTATCTGCACGCTGTAAATCTCGTCTGGCCGCTATCTGATAAATAAAACATTTGTTTGTTGCTGCGAGTGATGTTTAGATGGGCTCTGCCATGTGTGTGTGTGTGCGTGCGTATGTATGTGTGGATGTGTACCGTTTGGCACGTTGTACACGTCACGTTAGTTGCACATTTTCCACATCAATATATTAAATTATGCCTGAAACAATTTTTCGCGTTCAACTGCAATTTTTGTTATCTTTTTTATGTGTGTGTGTGTGTGTGTCCGTGTTTGTGTATTCCTTCTCATTTTCGATCGTTTGTTGTTGTTATATTTTTCGTTATTTTAATTTTGTTGCCTGAATAATGCAGTCGAATTTATATTATTCATTTGGTATGCTGAATTCAATGCGTAATTATCATTCGCCATAATTAATAGTGGATGGATTTCGTGTGTGATTCTGCATAACTATACGATTTATTTCAATCACTGTTGTTGGATTCAGTTAATAAAAATTTGAATGTAATTCGCTCATCTCTCGCTCGCTTTTGGCAAGATATCATATTCCACGCATAGGCAAGTAGTAGGAAAACGCGGGTTCGAATGCAATCATTGCGTCAACCATGCAGTTGACGCAAGGGACCCTTGCGTCATCCATGCGTCACCACTGCGTCGCATGCAACATTCAGAGAGCGAAGTCTAAGCGCCATGCATTGATTCTCACAAAGATTTCAATTGCGGTATTTCATTTTAAAATTATATTAAGTACAGTACAAAAACTACGCTTTGTTTGTATTGTTCAATTTACTCTACAACTCACTAGCACATTCACTCGTTCGCTCTACACCTCTCTCTCTCTCTCTCTCTCTCTCTCCTCTCTCACTCTCTCTCTCTCTCATGCGTTTTGTTTTGTTTTCATTCTAAAGAAAAAATGTTCGATAAGAATAGAATGTGTATGCGAATAAAATCAAAATAAATTCACAAAATCAAAACAAATAAAGAAACACAGTGAATTTCACCATTAAATGAAATTCTAGAAAAAAACATCAGAATAATAATAATGAACTTCAAGTATTTATTTACCATCATACATCGATCAAGGTCAACATTTGTTCGCTACCGGACGACGCGATTTCTTCATTCTACGGTTTGTCTTATTCGTTTCAAAGAGAAGGTGAAACGGAGAGAGACAATGGGTCAAAGTCTCTGCTTACCATGTATTTTTATATGGCAACAGTTCTGTGTGCGAAATGGGAACAGAGAGAATGAAAAAATATACATGGAAAAGTATTGTATCTATTGTTATGTAGATATCTATTGTTATGAGCAATCTGAAAAAGCAGTAGAAGTGAGTGAAAAAAAGCAAAAAGGTGACATTGCTTTAGCAATGCTTTTGTAGACGGCTGAAATATGTAAACATTGGAGCTTTCGTATATCATATTTTGTGTCTTTAGAAAAATACGTTTTTTCAAGAATATATCTGATTTTTAGTGAGCGTTTTGTTCGACGGACCATTTGTAATAGTAATAGTTGACCGATTTTGATGAAACTTCAGAATATTGTGGTCAATATATTGAACTTCAATGTTCAATAATCAAAATCTTCAATTTTCAGATTTTTTTTTCGCAATAAAATTCAAGTTTGAAAGTTTTCCACACATATTTTCTTTTTTAATATTAAAACAATCGTTCACACTGCACTCAAATCCATCTGAATACATAGCAATAAATTTGAACAATAACAACAACGACATGAATCATCGTCTCCTACATCTGCTTTACATGTCATCACATAATGAAATAGCTAATTGCAGTTTTTAACCTTGAACGAGTTTATTGAACTTTGTTTATAATGTGCACAAAAACACATATGCGTGGATTGAATGATAAAAAAAAACAAATGAAAGAGAACGAAGAAAAATATAAAAAGGGGTGGGGGTAAGTATGAGTGTAAAAGAGAGAATATGCGAGTATAAGAGAGAAAAAAAGTAAAAAAGAGGGGAAGTGTGAGTGAAAAAGAGAGAAAGTATGTCAGTAAAAGGGAGAAAAAGACAGAAAAAGAGGAGAAATATGACTGTAAGAGAGGGAGTATGTGAGTAAAAGAGAGAATATGAATATGAAAGAGAGTTCTTCAATTAAAAAACAATCACCTTAATTCATTAAAATCTAATTCATGAAATAATTGGCTTCATTCATCTTCAGAAAGTTAAACCTAACAGGTGCTTTTCAGTGAACTCGTAAAAAATGGAAAATATCGAAGCGCAACCGTCCACTAGTACAATTGAAAATGTAACAAGTGTTGAGTTACAAGCACGCGAAAGTGCGTTTGATAGACGAATAAACACATTCGCTATTGTAAACAATGGGCATATCGATATTGAAATATTTCTAAACGATGCCTTTCGTATATATCACTTGGAACTTACGAAAAATATTGAAAATTTTTTTGATGTAAAGTCAATGGCTGTATTCGTAGCAGAGTTTGAAAAAAAAATTATAAACAAAGATGAAAATAATGATTCCAACGATGATGATGATACTGGCGGTAATCATAGTGAGTTAACGCAGAAAGAGATTATATATCTCCCAACGCCAACACGTAAGCTTGATTCAAGTGTGAACTTACATAAACATTTTCGAAAACAAATCGTTGAAAAAATAGTGGAAAGCGTAGAACAAGTTACATTCCGCGGTTCCGGGTTTACGCTCGCTCGCATAATCGAGTTAAATGTTCACGTTAACTTATACAACCCATTACAAGGTTCATCGTATATTGAAACTCCTAAGAAGCTTCGATATAAAAATGCAATTATCAACGTACAAAATCTACATGATGAGATGTGCTTTAAATGGGCTATTTTATTTGCTTTACACCCAGTAGCAAATAATTCAGAGCGAATTCGTCACTATTATCAATATGAAAACGAACTGAATTTTGATGGAATTGATTTTCCCGTTCGCTTGAATCAAATAGATAAATTTGTTCAACAAAATGATACTATATCAATAAATTTATACTATTACGATGATGACAATGAGGGTCGTATATGTCCATTACGTGTAAGTAATGAAGTTAAACAGCATCACATTCATTTGCTGCTAATCAAAGATGGAGAAATTGTTAATAGCACTGAGGGGAGGAATGTTAAAAGAGCTAAAACTTCCATTAAGATTAAAGAGATCTGTGATAATGATTCAATTCGTACTCATTATTGTTGGATTAAAAATTTGAGCCGTCTTGTTAGCAGTCAGCTGAGTAATCATAAATCTCGATATTTCATTTGCGATCGATGTCTAATATTTTATGAAACAAATGAAAAATTAATGAAACATACTGCAAAATGTACAAACGAGTGTAGCATTGAAATGCCAGATCAAGCATGGAAATGGATGAAATTTGACAACTAAAAAAATCAGCTGAAAGCACCATTTGTTGTATATGCTGATACTGAAGCGTATCTAAAGGGACTCAGTATGGAAGATCAAAAATGCATATTTAGCGAGGAATGTTCAACTACCGCATATCAGCAGCATCATATGTACAGCGTTGGATATTACTTTAAATGTGAATTTGACGATTCACTTTCATATTACCGAAGCAGCGGCAATCGTACCGATAGCGTCGAATGGTTCATCACAGAATTGAAGAACCTCGCTCATGGAGTTGCAATGTTATTTGATAAAAACACACCAATGCTACCGTTAACTGAAGATGAGAGATATGCATTTCAAAATCCAAATGCATTATGTACGATTTGTGGTGATATTTTTGAAGCATATGATATTAGAGTACATGATCACTGTCATCTCACCGGTCGATATAGAGGTCCAGCCCATCAAGCATGCAATTTACAGTTCCAAGATAGCCACGTTGTACCCGTTATTATGCACAATTTGTCGGGGTACGACTCACATCTAATGGAGATGTTTCAATTATTCCTGCTAATGTGGAACAATACATCGCTTTCACGAAAGTAGTGACAGGGAGCACACGTGGACTCAATACGAGAGAAAACGTAAAATTTAAATTTATTGATTCATATCGATTCATGCCTGCATCTCTAGCTGAATTAGCATCACTACTATCGGCAGATAAAAAACAAATATTGTATAACGAATGTGAGAAAAATGGGTACACACCCGAACAAATCGCTATGCTTGAACGTAAAGGCGTTTTTCCTTATGAATATGTGAGCGGTATGAAGCAGCTAAAAGAGGCAAAGCTACCATCAAAAGCAGATTTTTACAGCAAACTTCGTGGAGAAGGAATATCGGATGACGACTACCAATTTGCTCACGATATCTGGCAGAAATTCAATTGTAAAACGGTCGGAGATTATTCCGAACTATATCTAAAGACGGATGTGCTACTGTTGGCCGATATATTTGAACATTTTCGAAATACATGCCATGCGATTTACAGTTTGGATCCATCTAACTACTATACAGCTCCTGGCCTTTCGTGGGACGCCATGCTAAAATATACCAGAGTGGAAATTGAACTGTTAACTGATGTGGAAATGATGCTGTTCATCGAACGTGGAATTCGCGGTGGCATAAGTCAGTGCAGTAAACGTCAAGTTAAAGCCAACAATAAATACATGGGAGATGTATACAATGATGAGAAACCTTCAAATTATTTAATGTATTTAGATGGTAAATAATATTTTATTCAATCATGCACAATCAATTTGATGATATTCTAGAATGTAATTTCGTTTTATTTCATTCACATTAATAGCAAATAACCTGTATGGACATGCAATGTCGCAACCATTACCGCTGAGAGATTTCAAATGGATTGAAGACAATATTGTGAAGACATCTTTTTCAGATGCAGATGAAATAGCTAAATTAGCTGACGATTCGACATACGGCTATATATTCGAGGTGGATCTGCAATATCCAAAAAATTTACATGCTACACATAATGATTTTCCATTTTGTGCTGAAAAGCGAACGCTTCCGCAAGAAGTGTTCGATATTATCGTTATAAAACCGAATAAAATCGAAAAATTATTGTTAACGCTATACGATAAAGAAAATTATATCATTCATTATCGCATGCTAAAATTAGCATTACAACACGGTCTAGTATTAAAAAAAGTACATCGAGTACTTCAATTCGAACAAAGTTGCTGGCTCAAGCCCTACATCGATATTAACACACAGCTACGTACGCAAGCTACCAACGACTTTGAAAAGTCGTTTTTTAAATATATGATAAACTCCGTCTTTGGTAAAACGATGGAGAATCTGCGTTTACGTGCAGATATCAAACTTGTCAACAAGTGGGGTGGGCGAAGTGGTGCAGGCATGTTAATTTCTCGACCAAATTTCAAGAAATGCAAAATTCTCGATGAAGATTTAGCAGTAATTGAGTTACAAAAAACACATATTAAAATGAATAAACCAATAATTATCGGTATGTCCATCTTAGACATATCGAAAATAACGATGTACAGTTTTCTGTCCGACTTTTTAAAACCTAAATATGGAAAAAATTGTACGGTTGCCTATACGGACACCGATTCATTTGTTTTATCTGTTAAAACGGATGATTTTTATGCTGATATGAAGGCGAACATTGAACGGTTTGACACAAGCGACTATCACAACGAACCCGCGAAATGGATAGATAAAAATCTAAAGGATATGGTTTGCGATATGCCAAGAGTTAATAAAAAAAGTGCCCGGTATTTTCAAAGATGAATTAAACGGGGATATTTTGGTAGAATTTGTCGGTCTACGTGCAAAATGCTACGCTGTACTACCGTTCCAAGCTAAAATGGAAATATGTGAATGTCCAGAAAGAGCTGTACCACCTCGCGTTATAACAGATAGCGACTATGTTGACTGCATCGAGAAGAATTGTATCATCGATAAAAAATCTAAGGTTATTAAAAAGTCTAAAGGTATAAAAAAAAAAAACGTAGTGAAACGTAAAATTGCATTTAGTGATTATGTTGACTGTATTGAGAAAAATTGTAATATTTTACGTGAACAGTATAACCTTCGCTCAAAATTACATCGAATATTCACAATTAAACAGAAAAAAATTGCTTTAAATCCGTTTGATGATAAGCGTTACCTCATTCGTTCGAATGGTATTGATACGCTGGCTTGGGGTCATCATGAAATTAGTGAAATTGAGAAAAAATGAGACAGTTTTTCATTGATTTTTCATAAAAATGTAACATTCTAGTAAAATTATGATATATTCTGTATAATTCAAAGGTAAAATGGTTTCAAATCGAACCTATATGATTTATATATTATATTAATTATTATTAAATATTCTGAAATGTATGGAAAAATAAAAAATAAAATGAAACAACTGTTTTTTTTTCAACGGTACAACCTAAAGAAGAATTTTTTATTATTCATAATTTCATTTCATTAATATAATACAGTTGAAACTTGATTGTTTGTTGTTTTCAACATTTTTTATATTTATACAATATTTTTTAGACAATTAAATTCCATAAATAATCGTAAAAGTGAAATTCAGGACGGCTTCTTTTTCCCGGGCCGAAATAAACAACATAAAGAGGCGTTGTCTCTAATTTGAGATTATCAACAATTTCCAGATAACGCTCACACAGAATCAAATACTCTTCACCGATTTTAACTGTTGGGCACACTCGTTCAATTTTAGCAACATTGCCTCTAAACACGCCAAAACCGCAAACTGGGTATTTTTTTGCCGATTTCCAAATCTCTCAACCTAATGTATGTATGTGAACCATCATTCAGCGGATGAGGATGCGCCATTGTGAAATTTTTTTTGTTGTTCTCGAGAAGCAGATCTGCTTTTTTGTGGTTGTTTGAATGAATGCAGCTAGTAAACTGAATTTTTTTAAATTATATTCTATATTTAAACGTTTTTCACTCTGATTTTTTTGCTCTTCGCATTGATCATATTCAAACACAAGAATCGAACTTTTTTCATGAAATCGAGCGCTTTTTACATAAAGTCGAACCTTAAATCGAACTTTTCCCCTAAATCGAACTATCTTCGTCATCAGAGTGATTACATTTTAAAAATTACAGATTACTCAATGCAACCACTGCTCCGTAGTTTGGAAAATAATCTAAACATTACACGCAATGATTGAGCAGGAACATGCAAGTTGCTACATACATTATGCAATTTTCTACATATTTCATTAAGATCTTCTTCTTCTTCTTCGCTCTCATCTTCCTCCTCCTCATCATCATCATACTCGCTAGCTGCATCATCGTCAATATGCTGTTCCTCATCTATGTCAAACGGTTGCTTAGAGAGTTTGAGTTGACGGAACATTGGTAGTGTGCGTGATTTCTTCTCAAATCTCTCATCATCATTGGATTCATCAGAAGTCTCATCCTCACTGGATGTAGATACGTTCTTTGAGTGAATTGATTTATTTTCACCTTCGTTCACACTTGATAGTGTATTAAAAGTTCCACTTCTTTCGTCTGGTTGTTGCATTTCATTATATTTGCGCTTTTTTAATAATGAAATTGTTGATTTAGCAACGTCATATTCTTTTGCTAGACGATTACCTTTCACTCCATCATTCGATTTAGCTAAAATTTCAGCCTTTTGGATTGTGTTCAACCGCATGATGTGGCAATAAAGATAACTTCTCTGTTTGGATGTTCAACTTGAACTAACTTGTATCACAAGATGTTTGTTATTTAAATGTAATTGAACCTCAAATCGAACTAAAATCGAACTATTTCCTTGAAATCGAACCTTTTTTTCTCAAATCGAACGTCAAATCGAACCATTTTTTCTTAAATTGAACCTCAAATCGAACTATTTTCATGAAATCGATCCTTCAGTCGAACTATTTTATGAAATTGAGCCTCAAATGTGCCATAAGTGTTTATCACTTACACACATACACACATGTGTATCAAAAGAACAGAAAAAAGAATTGTGATACAAATTGCATACTGAATATAAAAAAAAAATAGATAAATCGATTTACATGAGCTGTATTGATAGCAATGTGATAAAATTAATTAAATGAATGAATGAATGTATGTGTATGTGTGTGTGAAAGAGAGAAAATGCACTGTATATTTGTTTTTCACTCGCATCTTATTATCATTCACAAACTTTTGCATTCAAACTTGAATTTAAAAAAACTCTGTTCCTTATTTTCATAGTTTTATTTTAAAAAAATAAAAAGAAAATAACGATTTCAAAATTCAGTTTTATGTGTTGTTTTTTGATCTAAGTATTCGATCGGATTGATTTAGTTTTGATTATCATGAAAAAATCATTTCAAAAAATTATCATGTCAGTCAATGTTTTTCATATTGTCAATCAATACACTCACTCATACATCAATTAAATAAATTAACACCATGTGTGTGTGTGTGT